GCGGTCCGTATAACACACTTTCTCTCTTGCAGCGAACTGCCTCTCAGGACACAGAACGAGCAGGAACACACTGCTTTCCTTGACACAGCGGCCCAACAAATCCAGCTTGCCGTAGATGCGAAGATGTCTCGGGCGGAATGGCAAGGACTTAATACTCTTCTCACCTACGGGGGTCGAAAGAAGGGGCCGTCGCCTGCTTCCGATACTGTTCCTCTTATGACGGATGAGGGAGTCATGCCACCAGAGGTCATTGCAGGGGTCCAGCAACCACCACGGGTTCTCACCTCACTTTCGGAGGTTACGGATAACATGCAACAGCATTTCTGTCAGGTTGAGAGAGGACATCGATTGACCCTGCCAGACATGATATCTGAATATAACGGCTTGCCCAATATGGTTGCTACCGATGGCGCTTCCCTGGATTACATCCCCACCATCATTGATCTCCAATACCAAATGCGCTCATATCGGAGAGGCAAGGCCCCTGGGGTGGATGGCCTCCCTAGTTGCATATATAAGGTGGCCCCACGAGAACTCGCTCGGATCCTCAACCCACTGATGGTCAAAATCGTCGCTACGGGCAGAGAGCCCTTTCTGTTTAAAGTTGGTGAGGTGGTCTATTTCTTTAAAGGGTCGGGGGTCTCTACCGTGGCCAAAAACATGCGCAACATTCTCCTTGCTAGCACGGTCTGCAAACTACATCGTAAGCATATTCGCTCCCTCTCCCAGGACTTCCTCGCAGCAGCCCTGTTAGCTGAGCAATGTGGCGGAGTCGGAGGAAGGAGCACAGAGATGATAACTTTGTCGGTCAGGACCTTCCTCCGACACTGCCTACACACGCGCACCTCGGGTGCTGTCATATGCTTAGACCTCGTTCAGGCGTTTTACACCACCATCAAACAATTCGCCCTGTCCTTACCTGGGGAGGATCAGAGACTTGAAGATGCCCTTGCGTCCTTGTCACTACCTGAAGTTCTTATTCAGGGAGCTAAAGCTCAACTGCAGCAGGGTCCTTTGTTGCACCGCCACTTCCCGAAGGATGGTCTTATTCGGTTAGTGCAGGAAACCCAGAGGGGGGCATACTGGCGAGTTCGCGACGCCACAGATTTTGTGGCTCCGCATTTAGGATCCAGGCCAGGAGCGGTATCTGCCACTGACATCTTCAACGCAGTGTTCAGATTAGTGCATCAGGACATACGTGACGGACCCCAACGCGCTGGGCTTGCATGGCAGGAGGTGTATGACGCACCGATCACCCGCTTGTCCTCCCTACATGATTGGGATTTGTTGTCACCAGATCTCTCTTTTGTTGATGACATGACTCTTATGTCTCCCATCCCTGATCCTCTTAATGTCCATACCACACTGCTTTCCTTAGCTGAGACGGTCTATTGCTCCGCCGCCAGAACAGGTTTTTCGATACATGCCGACAGAACCAAGATTTTAGTCTCATTGAATGGCGTTAATTCCCGCAGAGCTCTCAGAGATTTACCAGGCAAGGCACTAACGGGCATTACTTCTGTGAAGTGGGATTTCACCTTCCCCGCCGCCTTGGTCCAGAAAATTCCCGGGCCCCAAGTTGCGGCGGATGGCTCCTTGGGGCCTGATGTCTCCGCACGTGTTGCGAAAACTTCCAGGGCGTGAAAACCTATTCGCAGCACTGTGGCCCCACGGAAAGCTCTACCCACGTTAAGCAAAATCACTTGGGCTGAGGCGCTTGCCTCCTCTGTTCTTTTCTTTGGTGCTACAGTTTGGACACGATTGAATGATTCCTTGTGGCGTAAAGTACAAACAGCACACACTTCTGTGCACCGAGTTGCCTTAGGCATGTCTGCCACTAATAATGCGGACCTTCATCATGACAATGCTCGTGTGTTCTTAGACACCCACAGGCTACCCACCCGTGTCATACTTACTATTGGTAGGTTGCGATTACTGCAAAGAATCATTCACAAGGGACCTCCTGTGCTTCGTTCACTCCTTGATTTGAATTGGAGAGACCCGAAGGGATGGATATCCCTCATGCAGGACGATATCAGGTGGCTGGCCTTGTTTTGCCTAGAAATCCCTATTGATGACGACGTCTGGTCCCACTTTGTACGTGCAGAACCCAAGGGCTTCCGCACTGCTCTCTCTAGCGCCATTACCAAGGCCAAACGATACTTTCATGACGTGGCTCATCATGAGGTGTGGAAGCATACTCTACGTACCATTGCACTCCACACTCCCCTCGCCTCGTCTGCCCCCCCCTGATGCAGCTCGTTTCGTGTGTTATGATCGTGGGCATGTCTCTTCCTCGGCGCAACGACATCTTGCACACATAAGTAAATGTCATAAGTCTGCCGCTTCCCCTACCATGTTGGCTACGGGGACATGTTGTCAGGTATGCCTTAGGGACTTTCGTCACGTGTCTCGATTAGTGAAGCACTTATCCAATGCACCAGCGTGTAAGTTGGCGTGGATTGGTTCTGGGCATCGACCCACTAGCGAGGAGCTTTCT